TCTTTCTATCTTTCATATCTTCATACAGGTTATGTCAAATTCCACTTCTGCAAAGTGTCTGCAAACCAAAACAATGTTCATCTTGTTCTGGGCTTCCCTCCAGCTTTGGCTCTGAGGCAAATCTGCATAGTACACCTTTCAATCAGGGGGCTACGCTATAGGTAAGCTAATGTAAACATTACCTTGATGCTAGACCCGGACAACACAGCATAAAAAACACAAACACATGCAAACTAGGCCCCTTTTCTTTTATCCTCTTTTTTCCACTTCTCTACATCCTCCATCCTCTGCATGCTGTTTTTTCGATTTGCACAGCATAATGACACAGGGTGGGGAACAGAGGACAGCCAAAACCAAAATTAAGTCCCATGCCAAGAGGCGGCTTGGCTGCTGTGCAAGGAGAGGAAGTGGGGAGTAATGAGAGATCTTGGCCCGACATAGAGTGGCCCGGCTCCGCTCAGCTCGCTGGCTAACGCACAGCCTCCAAATTACAGAGAACAGAGCTGAGCTGCCGGCCATATCTTCCTCCACCCCAAGCCGCCTCTCTCTCTCTCCATTCCTTCCTTTTAATGTTTGAGAAAGGACAAAAATAAAATTAAAATTAAATAAAGTGTTCATTTTCTCTGTGGCAACGAACCTGGCTGTAAAGTGTGCATACTGTAAAAATGTTCCATTCCTTTTCTTTCTTTCTTGTTTTACTCCCTCCCTTCTTTCTGGTTGGTGCACTCCACTGTTTGTTTTCCGTCAAGATGAGGCCTCGGCTGCCTCCCTGTCCACTTGCCTTTTCCTCAAAGACATGAGGTCATATCCTGCGCGGCCCTTTCCTTTCCCCGCTAACCCAAACAAGACAGGAATGCTGAGAGAGTGAGGAGGGAGACTGAGGGTGCTCTGTTTCTGACTTCAGTTTGAAACTCGGACAGTTTATTTGGTGTAACATCGGTGATATGTGATTTAAACATCATCTCCGGTAAATAACATAACAAACAAATTCAAAGAAACACACAGACCTTTTCACTCTTGGACCAAAAATGGGCTGTTTCTCTGGGGATTTCTATACGACAGCAGAACTAGTTTGATTTAATGAGCCGAGATGCCAAGAATAAATTTAATCCATTACAGTCCCTGATGAAGGTTATACCTCCTGCCGATTCAGTGGATGACTAATTGACTGAGTGAAGGGCTGGCTGACTGTCTGTCGAGTGAGGTGACCGGCTGGTGGTTTAAGAATACAACTCAGCCTAAATTTGACCTGCAAAGGGAGGAAGTTCCTGTGTGACAGTCGGCTGTGCGCCAGGACTTGCATCAGGTCATTCAATCTGCCTGCCTGTGTGCATGTGTGAACATGTGTGTGTGTGTGTGCGTACATGTCACTGCAGCCCAAGTGGATCCTCTTACACACAGGCACTCCGGGTCAGTCCCTGATGGCACCAGCAGGCATGCCACCGACACACACTCTGATGCCACACATCCAGTGAGAGCTTGACAGACTGGAACTCACCTCTAAAGACGAGTTAACGCATTAAATGTACACACTAAAGCTGGGTATTGATCCTCAGTGCTTCTTTGGTTCAAATGGGTTCATATTACCAAGCATGAAGTGAGAAAACTGGCACTAAAAGCTGCATGAAGCTACTTGTTATTTGACTGGATAGCTCCAGACTTTGGCCAGTTTTAGACGTAACTGTCCATCTGCTTGTGTTTCGACAACATTTGGATTCATTTGTTAAATTAAAAGAAAGCTGAAAAGCTGCTGAAATGTTGTTTTTATATCAGGACTAAGACTCAGGTATCACAGCAGCACTAGCAGAGAAAAAAGTAACTGTATACACTACTATATAAACTACTGTGGTGTCAAGCTCACAGAGGTCTTTCATTAGAATAAAAAAAACTTCTTAAGCTTGACAAAATGGATGACTGGCTATGTGGGTGCTACCTGAGCTGCTCATAAACATTCTAGTCTCCAGCACGTTTAAATATTGCTTCACACTCCACAGATTCATAACCAACAATTTAACACCCTCTTAAACCTGACCCTTAAAACTCCCATTTCCAAATCTCTTTGTTGAGCTCACTCTCCAGTTCCTGTGTGAACCGAAACCCCCGGGCTAAGCCCTGAACCCAGCTCAGACCAAGATCAACACCCCGACACCCAGCTCCAGGCCTCCAGCAATCAACACCAGCTCCTCTCCTTTTCCCTCCTGTCCTCTGCTGTTTTCCAAGCCAAGCAAGAGGAGCTTTGGCGCTGGCAGCCTGGCAGGCAGCCTAGTTTGCATTTGTGCTTGTCGTTGTCACAGCTCACTTAACTCCTTCCAGCCTGGATGGTTTTGGCTTTTTCCAAGATGGAGAGGAGGTTGTTTACTTCTTCTGGATCAGTGAGGATTCATTTTGGGTACTTTTTCAGTCTCGCAAACGTTTACCTCGAATGCTGCTTCACAAATCCATTCTGGCTTTTTCTTAAAGCTGAGAAGAAGTTAATTATTCTACTACAGTGCAACATAGTGAGAGTACAGCTCTTTGCTGACTTCAAGTCATTGCCACACTCTTCCCCCCAAAGGCGCCCTCCTCTCTCTTCCTTCTTCCTTTTTGTAAATATGTCTGGAGAAGAACATAAAAAGGGCAGAGGGAGTGAATTAGAAGGTCAGCAGCGGGCCTCTGGGAGAGCCATGTTTCTTTTGTCAGGGTCCCAGAGGGAGGGAAGCAAGGGAGGGGAAGAAGAAATGGAGCAGCCATTTTTCCTTGGCTTGCCAGGGAAATCATGAGGGTAGAGCGTTTTGGCCATTGTGCCCTGGCCTTTCTATGTCTATTGCTTTTACTGAGGAGGCCCGTTCACTGGCCGACACTGCCAGGAAGGAAAAGGGGAGGAGGAAGAGACATAGCATGAACATTTTTCTGAGGGAGGGGAGAAGGAAGGGAAGGAACATGGGGCTGCCTTTTAAAATTCCAGGTCTTCGGTTTCAAAGTTTGAATTAGGTCTAAAATGTGTCTTTAGTCGATTCATGTAGAGGACTTTTTAGTGCCTCTCTGAATGTCTGGAGGAGAAAAGAGGCAGAGCTTTGTTTCCACTGTTCTTGTAAGCACTGCTCCAATCTCTTCCCCCATCTAGGGACACACACATCAAGGCAGACTAACCCCTCCACCCCTCTACCACCAAACAAAGGAGGGGGGGAAATGGGCAGCAAACACCAACTGACATAAAACAGGCTTTAAAGGCCCAGTAATGAGAACCATCTGAGGCAAAGGAAAGCAGCATGGAGCAATCTTAAACAGAACAAACTCTTGCTCTTGTGAACACAATCTTATTCTGTAGCCTGAGGACGGGGCGCTTGGTAAGAAAGGGATTGCCGCCAGAGGGGATTATGGAAGAAAAGCTGAGGAAGCCTGAAACACATCCTGCATAAGAGATGAAAAAAGAACGGCGCCTGTGTCCACACACAGAGCCCAGAGACATCCCCTGGATGCTCAAACACACCCAAACAAACACTTACATGTCAGCTGAAGCCCTCCCCCCAATACCGCACGCACAGAGCATATTGTTCTCCAAACAACGGTTCAGCGTGTTTGTCTTGCATTACAACATGACACGAAAAGGGATGAGAGGGAATGTGAGAGGAAGAGGAGAGGAGAGGAGCGTTGTTCAAAGGGCCAGGAGGGAGGAATTCATGTGGATGTGGGTGAAACAGACACCACCCTCCTTCACTGGCTTTTGGTTTATTACAGAGGGGAAGCAGGGGCCCCCACAATCACTGCCTCATCATCACAAGTATGGAGGGGAGGTGAGTGTGTGTGTTGGGAGGAATGCATAAGAGAAGGAAAAGAAAACAGTGGAGGAAAATAATATTACTGGCAAAGAGGACGGACAGTTGAAAAGGGGTGGTAAAATAGAAATCATTTGTATGAATATTTACCTGAAAGCCCCACAGGGGCCGAATATGTTGTTTCCCCAGTGTCACTGGATGAAGGTCCAGAGTCTGGAGAATCTAATGGAGAGAGAGAGGGAGAGAGAGAGAGAGAGAGAGAGACTCTGAATTAGTGCAGTGTTTGTGTGGTTGAAGGCAAAGCAGCAGCTGTGAGGCCGTCAATCACTCTGGTGAAATCAATGCCTAATGAAGACGCTGACGATGAGGCTCACGCTCACACACACACACACACCAACACACAGACTTACAGTGGAGAGTTTCTTACACCCCCGATAATCCCCCATAATCCACTCCTTCAGGAGGAACGTTAACCATGCATCTCTGCATAGACAAGTTCCTGATCTGCTAATGACTGATGTGGGGGTTTGTGTTGGAGACTGATCCCTGCTCAATAACCAAACACAGATCAGATATTAGCAGACTGTAAGTGTAGCTCCCCATTTAATCAAGACGCAAACCAGTCTGGTGATTTGTCTCTTCACATTCTTCTGGTTTCTGCTTTTCTGTCCAAAAACTGTGAATGTGTTCAAGCTAAACTAGAAATCTGAGTGTTTACACCAAATCAGAGGTGTATCAAATGTATTTCTACCTAAAAATAAATGGAACATTTGCGTGTGGTTGCCTTGCAGTTTAAATAACAGGATGCACTCCATCCTGGCAAAAACGATGAGGGATACAGAGCTTCTCTGTGAATTTACAAAAGCAGGCAGACAAGAGACAAAACTATCCCCACTCTCTCCCTCTCCCTCTTTTTTTGCATTTGAATGTCTAACTCACACTAACACTGTGATGTAGACTAGTTTCAACATGACACCTGAACGGAGCCTTAAGAAACCTGCGGTGTGCGCCGAGCGGAGCAGCACACCGCTGGGACCAGACGGGCTCTGCTGCAGAGCTGCTGCTGCTGCTACCTTGATGTTCACTAATGGTGCGTGTCAGCGCGGTGCTACACCTACCATCCATTCACAGCGTGCGTGGTGCTCATTGCCACTCTGACTCAGTTATGACTCTTAAGTGCCGGTTTCTGAGAGTTATAATGTGCTACACATGCATTCAATGTGTTCGCACCAAAAAAAGCAAAATGACCTGTTAACAATGATATTTGCCCAGAGATGGAGGAAAACTGAAGCAAAAAGGTTACTGTCACTACACTGTATGTCGGGGTTCAGTAAGAATTTAACCCACACACTGTATGGTGAGGGAGAGAAACATGGTGCCTCTGTTGAAGACCTCCACTCTCCAGCTAACAGATCATCTCACCAGCCTCCTGTGACTAGAGTGGTTTCACTGCGAGCCCTGCACCCTGCCCTGTCCAGATGCAGCTCATGCTTCTGTGGTTGCAGTAACAACACGCACGGGCATAGCCCAGCCTTCCTTGCTTTTATTGGCTGCCAGCGGCCTTGCCCTGGTCTCCCGGACCAACAGTTCTCAGCTGGCCACAGGGCTGAATGGGCATCAGAGAGAAAGATCTCAACAGTATGTGATTTATATTCCCCAGAGCTGAAACAGGGTAGTGTTTTACACCTGGACTGCTTTCATATTAATGAGAAGTATAGATAATGCCTAGATGGATGGATGGATGTCTTCTAAGAGTTAACAATGCATATTCTCTGAATGTAATCATGATTTAACACTGTATTTGCTAAAACAGTGCAAATACAGAGAACAGTGTGGAAACTGTAATAGACTGCAGTAATGGGAAGGAGCTGATGACTGAGAGCTCCCTGTGGTGACAGGAGAAAAACCCAGGTCCTTTTGTATAATCCGTTCATCTATCCTCTGTGCATGTGTGTGTGTGTACTCTCCAGCCTGCTTAAATGTTATAGTAAATATGTTGTCTTCCTTCCTCTGATATGGAGACACACAGACAGTCTCATTTGATTAACCACAAATGCAGCTGCACTGAATGAATGCAACCAAACAAAGAAACAACATAGCAGGTGGGCTCAAGTCTGCTGCACCTCTTCGCTAAAGTTACAAAAAAAACAATATGACTTAAAAAGGTCTACTTGGAGACAGACAAGGAATTTGATATTTTCCTTGTCTTGTTCTGTTCTTGCTGGCACACAGACACACAATTCAAGTTTTTTTAGTTTGCCTCAGGAGGGGAAACAGAGCGGTAATATGAGTTGTGTAATCATTTCCTTTGTCTGCATCCAGCTTGCATTTCCTATTTACCTTCTAGTTTCCTTTCATTGGTGGAAAGTCTCCAAATGAACTTGTACAAATGCACTAGTTCTACAATGAAGCACGCATCAGCAGTGGGTTGAGTATAAAAAGGATTGCACTCAACATTTCTAATCAATTCTGCTTGTATTTAAGGCTTTGGAAATGCTTTTCAGGTAACACAATATCACTAAACCCTGGTGATAAAAATGACAAAGACAGGGAGAAGGGGGGGCTCTGAAAAACCACAGCTGCAGCTGCAATGACTTCCTATTGTTTCCACTCACTGAAAGCCACTTTCTCCTTCATCTGAGTAACTGGTGATTGTTTAACAGGGATTTTCCTGTACTGACAGACGATCAGACAGGAGTAAATGAGCAAAGAAATGAGGAGAAAATTAAAAACAGTGGCCTTAACACTGATACCTTAGTCAGATTTTAGTGGCATGAAGGAAAACTGTTGTATACAATCTACAGGAGCTGCATCTCCTCTTCCTTCCCACTCTCGCACTATTATGGCTATGACCTGAAATTTAACACGCTTCAAAACTGGTTTAATAGGTGAAGAGACGCCACTTTTTGGCACCAGGGAACACAGAGACAACCACAGCAATATGTGGACTCTGACACAGGAAAAGAGAGAAAATAGTCAAACAAGACAGAATCTTGTTTAAAAAAGCCTGTTGGAGGATCAGTAGGAGAAATGAAAAGGCTTACACAAATGTTCTCTCCCAGTCCCTAAAACAAATAGTATCCAAACAGAGAGATGTGGGATGGTGAAACACATCCCCACACAAAAGCCCTCAACCTTAATCTGCTGATTAATTCAGCTGATAAAGGCTGGCTGGCTCCAGAGACACCGCTGTCTGTCCGTTTCGTTTTGTGCTGCGATTCATAATAGATAGATGGACATGCAAACAAGCACTCATACAACTCCCCCTCCCACCTCAGACGCACACATGCACACGCTTTACCCCTGGTGATGTGCAAGTCAGTCTATAGCTGCTCTCTCAACTTTGTGCTGTTTTGCCCTGGCTGCCAGCCATGCTAGAACTGCCCAGCCAGCCAGGCGTGCCACTCCACTGCTATCATAAATCACAACATAACATGCAGCCACTTTCCACACACACACAAATGCACTGCAGTACATAAAACTGTTTGCATATGTAATGTCAGGCATATGGACAACACATGAATTTAAGATGACCTTTGGCAAAGAAAATGTGATTTACACAAAAAAAAGCATTTCTGTAATAATAATACCAGTCGACCAAGCTCACCTGGTGGTTTAAGGTAGTCCATGGGATAGCGTGAGTATGGAGGAGGAGGGGACTCTGCATGGAAGGGAACAAATAAGAGCATGAGGAAAAAACCCAAGGAAGAGATCTAAACTTTATGATAAGTGTCGTCATACTTCAGGGAAAGCGGTTTGTGTCTGTCAGCTCAGCTTGGAGGCGCAGGCAGTGAGGCCGGCGGGGCGGCTATTGCCTTTCATTGGCAGGCAGATAAACAGGGGGCCGCCTGGCGCCAGGAGGGCCACTATCAGCGTCTAGGACAAACTGAGATACGGGCCTCTATTGCCGGGGACGCCAGGCGCGCGCACGCACGCGCGTCCAAACACACACACACACAGGACCTGGAAACTTCACCGTGCAAAGACAGCAAAGCCCTAGCTGAGTCGCTCTGCACTTTGGAAATGCCAGTTGTGAAATGCTTAAATACCAGACAGGCTGTTTGTTTGGAAAGTGGGGCTGTGATGAACTTGAAAATGGCCCGGTTTAGTCTGAAATAATCAGCTCGTGCGTGTTTTGGCACCTTTCTAGTGCCAGAAACCATGGAGATGCAGTCTAATTAACGCATCTCTGTTAAGAAATCAACACATGTAGCCTTTAAAAACACAACACAGTGACAGTTCATGGTTATAAAAAATGGAGGACATCTGGTTTAAAAAAAGGTTCTGTGATACCACTGCTTCATTGTAACATGCCACATTCAAATTTAATGACACCGCTGCTAAAAAGATGAAGAGGACCACTTGGCACGCTTTCCACACAGGTCAAGTTTGACCTTATGGAAACTCAAGACAACTGTGCCAAAAGAGGTGATGTCATTAAAATTAGGCTAATTAGCCCTTTAAGAGTCTCATAATTCTTTGTCACTGTGTCTGAACTTATACATGGTTTAAAATTGGGCCCGTGCACCAGAGAATTAAACACAATTTCAGAACTTCTGTTGTGAAGATGAGGCTATAATAATAATGCATCTCACCGAGTTCACAAAGCCTGCTCATGTGGTGCGGGTTGCAGCAAACGAGCTCTGGGTTGATTTTCCCGTAGGATTCACAGCAAGACAGCCTCTTCAGCTCCGAGGAATGCCTGAGGTCCGGCCACCTGAACACTTTGTAGAGCAGCATGGGGAGAGAGTAAGAGTGCTGACCCACTTTGGCGTCCACCTTGCTGGGCAGGAGCAAGCAGGGGCTCCTGGCACCCCCCTTGGACTCCACGGCCTGCAAAAGCACCTCTAACTGTTTCTCTTTGATCTTTTTCAGTATCGAGTGGGTCAGTGCCTTCAGTTCAGCCTCCGACCCGGCGTTGGACTTGGCCACCTTTGTCGTTTTGCCCATGCAGCAGCTCCCAGAGCCATGCGTCCCTCTGTCCGCCTCCCCGTCGCCCTCCACGGGCGCACGGCTCCTCCAGAGTCGCCGGACGAGCCCCGATCGTTTGGTCCTAAACATGCGGGACGAAAAGAGGGTTCCCCGGCTAAAAAACGAGCATTGTGTCCGCAAATCATGAAGATTCCGGGATCCGAGTCCAGGCAATGACAAACAGCCTGAAAAAATACGTTGGAAAAACTGGGAGTTGGATAAGCCGAGGAAATCTGTAGCATACGCCAGTCTCTCGTGCCTTCTCCTGCAGGCTAGATCACCAAAAAGCAGTCGAGGTTCACGGGACAGTCACCTTTTCCTCCGAGGATAAATAAACATCACCTCCGGGCGTTTAAGACTAACCTATAACAATCAATCTAGCAGCGTAGCTCTAAGGCTGCGGGGAAAAGTGGTACAACACAGCAGCATGTAGACAGAATGTGTTACAATTATTCAATGGATGGTGTGCAGCCTGGCTGGAGCTGTGAACTGACCCCTTTAAAACACTCTCCATGTCGATTTTCAGCATATAAACAAAGTCAAAACATCTTTCAATATATGCGCACCAGATGTGGTAAAATCAGACAAACTGGGGCCTAATTGAGCCAAAAGGCAATCACAGTTATCCCGAGAAAACCGAAGCTCGCCGCTGTCTTCAAAAACAATCCATAAAATCCTCGATCCGACAGAGTAGGGCTCTCTCCACCAGGCTTGTGGGGGCTTTCTATCGGTTATCGTCTAAATATGCCACTCGGCTGCAGAGGATGTGGTGTGCTGACAGGAATGAGCCTCGTTCAGGAGCCAGGGACCAAATCCAGGACTGGATCTCTAACCCGAGTTGAGTTGCGTTTCCAAAACTAGGGGCAAAACAAGAGAGACCCTGGGGTTGCGTCCACGCACGGAGCCTTGTAACCTATTTTAGTAGCGTTCAGATAAAATGATCCAAGCTCATATCTCACACGAAGTTTCCGCGTCTATGTGGAAGAAAGAGCCCGATGACTGATCTCGAGGGGGGTAGAACGCTCTCTGTCTGTAAAGGAGGCGGATGGCTTGGGTGCCCTTGCTCCGGCTCCAGTCTCCAGTGCGCATTGACGCGCCCGGTCACGTGTGTGTCTAGACACCCTGTCGCTTAAAAGAAATGTGATTGTGTTGCGCAAACAACAGATCAAGTAGAGCTCACTGCGCGCGTACACCCGCGCGCGCACACACACGCACACAGTAGAAAATGTAAAAATTTCCCAGAATAGTTGTGTTGATAGTAAAAGGTCGAGGTTGGGAACCTATAGCAACGAGGGCAAACAATACAGATTCCCACTTAAAGTAATTTCTGTTAAAACCTTTGAATGTTAAATGAATAGTTCAGACATCTACTTTAACTTTCTTAACATTTCTGAGCTTTAATGTCAGATCCCTTGGTTGCCTGCTGTGGTTAATATGCTAAAAGTGTATAGGCTGAAACTGATCTGGAAAATAGACTGATATCAACCTGTGCTGTAACACAGGCTTTCCTGTTTTCTGCTCAAAATAAAACGTTTGCAATCGTCAATGTTGCGCCTTCAGAAAGGTTTTACTTGCGCTTGCGCTCCCATTAAGCTCCATGAACCAAAGAGATATCTAGGTTTAAACTCCAGCTGCGTTAAGGTTATAGCACTGTAGATGGAGTCATCTAGCACAACTGGGAGAGCTGGGTGAGAGAGACAGAGAGAGAGAGAGACAGAGAGAGAGAGAGAGAGAGAGACTTTGTACCTATGAAACTCAGAGACACCAGAGCCGACGTGTCCGAAACACAGATGGGAGTGCGCTGCTGCCGCCCTCTGGACGTTTGGCTCTCAGATGGGGCAACCGCATGTCATGTCTTAATTACTAATACAACAGTTTCCACCTTTCTTTATTTGTTCAGTACAACGGTCCATGAACCAAAGATCAGTCTCCTATCTTGCCTGGCAGCAGATTTATAACAGGATATGTAACATTATATCCGTTGTCTTTATAGGTTAAATCCATATTTATCATGTCACGAAGAGTGGTTTTATTTGCAGCTTAAGAGACAATGGCATATACACATTTAAATGTTTACTTTCTTTTTTGTATTTATAGGCCAAAATAAAACTGATTGTTAGACATTTAACCGCACTTTTCATATTTAACGCAGGTTATTATTTCAATATGATACATAATGAATATGGTAAATATAAAGAACCATAAACCATATAAACCTCAAAGCAAACTGGTGAAATCATCTCATTTTGAACAAGAGAAGAGACGCGCAACCTGAACACACAAGAAAACCACAGACACTTCAGTCACACTATGCTGCATTAGTGTGAATGCGGGGGGGTGGGGGTGGGGGGGATGATGATGATGCGATCGATGTGCGAGGTTTGGGGACGGACGGGAGTGTGGGTTGGGGGTAGTCAATAGCTCGTCCCCGCATTGTCCCTGGACCCCCCACTGGCGCCGCGCAAAAGCCCAACGGTGCAGGGGACTGCGCCGTTTAGTAGTCTGGAAGTAATCAGTCAGGGGAAAAAGGGCTGTCAGACGGATTGTGGAAGTGACTGCAGACGTAGATTAACCCCTCCCCTCTCCCTGCATCCCTACCCTTCCCTTTGTGTGTCTGATTATTCTCCAGGCTCCAGGAAGTAGCCTATTTTATCTAACAGTTTTTCATTTCAGATTGGTAGAGTCCACAATAAAGCCTGCACACAGGTGCGGGGCAAGACTTCGTTTTGGCACATTTGAGCCGCATTAATTAAAAAATAACAGAATCTTGAAAGGTGCATTTTCAATAATCTAGTGTTTCATATGGGCCCTGTTTTATTGCACACCCTAGTGAAGTCTTAACTTCTGTTGTGCAACACTTATCTAGGCCTACACATTAATAAACATCCTCACTGATGAAGTGCACAAGTGAAAGCAATAAAATACATTAAACTGAAAAGAAACAAACTATAAAATTAGGATGGATAGAAAAATAACAACCACCACTGCTCCTCCCCCAGGAAGTCAGGCTACCTCAGGAACAACTTCACCCTTTACTGACCCTCTTTCCCCTACTAATTATTTTCACACAGTCCCTTAGGGCTAGTCAATATCACTGTATTCCCCTTAATAATATAAATACAATAATATGAATTAATCAACGGTCAGACATTTATTTCTGCTTTTGTTTAATATTTGCAGGATTTGCCAAAATCCTTTTGTGTGTTTTGGATCCATTAACTGTTTCTCAAATGACTCCTCCCAGTCAGGTTACAGCACTTTATAACAATATACATCAAATTCACAAAGTACAAGATGAGATTTGATCCATATTGACTCCTCCAAATCTATATTTATAATTATTTAGAACATTTTCCTTTTTATAGATTTCAATACCTTTCCTTTGCACTTTTATCTGCTTATGCAGCTTATTACTGTAACTTGTCGCCACAATTGTTCACAGATCAAAACATCTTACAAGGTTAGATGATTTCTGTCATTTCTATAAGCTTGAATATTTTGAGTCAATTTCAGTCCCAGCATGGGAGTTAAAGATGCTCTCACTTTAGGCCGTCATGAGGCCGATAGAGCTCATTCAAGACAGGACATGCAATAAGGAAAAACTGGGTTTTAGAGGAAGATGGAGGATTAATATTCTAGACAGCAGTCTTGGCCTTTACTATAATTTATTGACACAGTGACTGCTTCTAGACAAGTGGTCATACATATGCAATTAAAGCAGCTTATTCTGTCTGAACCACAGTATAGCAAAAACAGCGCACAGGACCCCCATCACTGCTAAGATAAGAATGATAAAAATAAGACAACTTTAATTAAAAAGATAGAGGAGACTTTTTTCACCACTTACACGTCTGATATCTTGTCAGGGAAGAGCAAAAACACCCACATTGGTAAATGTCACTGCATAATTAAAATATACAAAATTGTGGGGTGAAAAGCGAGAAGCTGGATGTGCTTCTGTTCTCATCACACTGTGTAAAAAAACAAAAAATATTTGCCAGTGTCTCCAGTTGTGGTTTCCCCAAATGAAAGAGAAAGGCAGGGAAAGCTCTGGTGAGATATGCTGTCCTCGAACTAACCGGTGACCCACGTCCATCCTAAAATCTTTTCAGGCAGCCAGGTCAAAGTTTGCTACATGTTTCTCTTTTCTTTCTACAAGGAAACTTTAATTTTTAACCAGAATATTTAGAAAAGATTTGTCTCAATTCCCCTGAAAGTGAAAAGGAGTAAAATTCATCCTGACATGATAATGAACTGACAACTGGAGATGAAGCCTGTGCAGGTACAAATTCATCCCGTGAGTTCACAGAGGGAAGCGTTGCAGTGTCAAGTCAACAGAGGCTCCACAAATCACTGGTGTGAATGGAGACAGACACTACACTAACAAACTCAGGAATTTATCTCCACAGCAGTGCACTGAAAAAGCAACACACCGAAGAATTACTTCCACTGTAGATTAACCTGCCAATTATCTTGACGTGACTGATAAGTTGGTCTACAAATACCAGAAAAAATAAAGAGTCCCATTTCCAATACAATTGTACAAAAGCTGAAGGGGATGTCATCAAATGAATTGTTTTGCGAGACACTCCAAAAGTTTATT